TCCATTTGCCCCCCCCCCCCCACCCCATGCTCCACGCCCACGAAAATTTGACGTGATAAGATGTTGCTGCTTCAAGTATTATAGCCTTTGAAAATTCTCGAAAAAGTTTTAATTTCCGAGTTGTTGAGTTTTACTGCTGAATCTCCACCTGTAAAGTCTCTTCTTTGTTTTTCATTTCCTCTCATCCTCTTCTTTAGTTTGCTCTGACATCACACTTCAGTTTCAATTACATTTTCTTTGTCCACAAGGGTGTGCAAAGGATTTAAGATTCCGCTGGATAAAGCACTGGGATTGCCTCCTGTTGGCCGAAATTGATAAAAACTTGCGCGATTTTAATGATAATTATTTCAAAAATTTGCTGAGGATGATTCTGGATTGAGTAAAAAAGTGTAAATAACATGTAGGAGAGTAAGGATTCTGTACTTGCTTCTTGTCATCTCTTAGGTGGTGTTCTTGCTAGTATTCAGGTTTTCCATTAAATGGGTATTTTCTCTATTGAATTGCAAAAATACACTAAAACCAAATTTTTTAAGTTTAGGACATATGATATTTATAGCAGTAATGAAAACTGATCTCTTCACCAGTCTTCCGTTGGTTGGACCAGGAACCGGAGCAGCAATAGCATACATTTTTTCTCTTTTCTTTATTTACAAGAATTTGCATCCACAAGTTTGATAGCTAGCTATATGGATATTATTGAAAGTCTGCATGAGTCCGAGAGTACGATGTTAAAGCATTTTCACATTAATGAGCACAATCTACATTTTTTATGCAGGGACGAGGAAGCTATGAAGATCGCACCGAAATGCTTCGTCTTATTGTCGATCTTGTAGAGGCAAGCATCTATGCTGACAATCCTGAATGGAGGTGAGTTTGTTTTGTACTTAATATAAATAGCATGTTTGACTAAGCTTGTTGCTACAAAATAAAACTAAAATATTGGCTTTATTTGTAGAAATAGCTTAGCCAAACATGGCAGAAGTTGATAATATGTTGATGCCTCTAGCATCTGACTTGGTTCACTTTTCAATCTGGTTCTCATAGTTAATTCATTTGATCTTTTGTTTTCCAGTGTTGACGAGCAGGTGGCAAGAGACATACAATTAATAGATGCCATAGCTGAGAAACAAGCTCAAATATTTACAGAAGAGTGCAAGTTGTTTCCTGCTGATGTGCAAATTCAATCTATATATCCACTGTAAGAATTCAATCTTTTCATATTATTTGACTCATCTCTAAGAAGCCATGCTGCTCAGCAATTTCTAAAACAAAGCTATACCACTTTGTATGCCATTAAACCTTTATGCATATGGAGATTAAATTTTTCAAGCAGAAGCACAGTATCATTCAATCTTCTCCCTGTTTCTTAGGGGCATGTAATCATGTCGTGCCATGCTGCTTCTATGACGCAACATTTTTTATGCGTATTATTAATCTTGATATATGCAATGATACAACCTGGATTTATATTTATTTTCTTTCAAAATACAATGTCATCCATCTATATAAAACTTCTGTGTATCTGATTTGGTATGGGTAATGGCCTCCCCTTGATTTTTCTTTTGTGTACTT